GGCGCGCCCGTGTACCTGGCGGCCGTGCTGGAGTACCTGACGGCCGAGATCCTGGAGCTGGCGGGCAACGCGGCCCGCGACAACAAGAAGACGCGCATCATCCCGCGCCACCTGCAGCTGGCCATCCGCAACGACGAGGAGCTCAACAAGCTGCTGGGCAAGGTCACCATCGCGCAGGGCGGCGTCCTGCCCAACATCCAGGCCGTGCTGCTGCCCAAGAAGACCGAGAGCCACCACAAGGCCAAGGGCAAGTAAAGGGGAAGTTTAGCGTCATCCTGAATCTCAACCAAAGGCTCTTTTCAGAGCCACCCAGCTTTTCATTAAAAGGGCTGGCATTTCCTGTACTGTAGCAGCTACTTGGAAATGACCTTCAATCTACCAGTAGGTGTCAGTGTCTAAACACGCCTAGGAACGCGAAAGCAATTCCATGAAAACAAGAAGTTAGCATTAGCCTAGTAAAATTAGAGACTGCACCAGGTAATTAAGGGGATGAATGCTGCAGGGCCTCAGGGTTAAGCCACCAGAAAAATATCGAGAAGGACAAGGCTTGGTCAAAGGTGAATATTTAAATGAAAATCTAATTAGTGGACCGCCCGTGCAAAAAACCACCGAGTCCTTGTTAATAGGACTCATCTGCAACTCGCCCAACTTCAACTCTGCTGGGCCCTAGTCCCTTGTAAATGGGAAAACTACCTGCCCCGGAGGCATACCTTTAGGCGGAGCTTCTCAACACAGGGCCCAGCATGACTTTAAAAAGGGAAACAGTAAATCTTTTTGTACCGCGTAGACGTTTGAGGATTTTTTCCCTTAACCCAATTTTACACACATTTCAGTTGAAATTGCACAACGTTGTGGAATGCTTTACCTGAGAACGCTACTTAGTGAAAAGTAAATGTTATGTAGCTGTAATATCAAATGTGAAATTGAGTTAGACATTTAGAAAAAGGCTATAAAAACATTTTGAAAGCTCGAAGTTTAAATAGAGAAGTGAAGAAATTGACGTGAAATGCGCCTTCCTAAACTTGAGGCCAAAAAATCACTTAGCCAATCACATCCAGCGCGCGCCTTTTCAAATTGACCAACCGAAAGCCAGTTTCAGGCGCCAAAACTTAAAACTTTTATTCAGCGAAGGAGATGTACCATTGTAATGTTTACATTAAATTCTGCGGAGAAAAACCAAAGAGCGTTGTAGAGAAAAGGCGTAAAGACCCTAGAGGCGAGAAAGCGTAGAAAACAGCCGCGGTCGAAAGGGTGGGTGGGAGGAAGAAGGTAATTTCGGCTCCAAACGCCGGGGAGGATCTTAGGATCAGGAAGTGGACCCGCCTTCCAATAACTTCGCCGCGAGCCTTGATCGACAGGTGCCTGATCCAATGAGAGCGGGGCTTGCCTTATATATAGTGGTTGCGGGGACAGGGTCGGATCTCTCTGGCGGCTCCCTGCACCCAGGCGTTTGGCGATGGCTCGGACGAAGCAGACGGCGCGCAAGTCCACGGGCGGGAAGGCGCCGCGCAAGCAGCTGGCGACCAAGGCGGCCCGCAAGAGCGCGCCGGCCACGGGCGGCGTGAAGAAGCCGCACCGCTACCGGCCCGGCACGGTGGCGCTGCGCGAGATCCGCCGCTACCAGAAGTCCACGGAGCTGCTGATCCGCAAGCTGCCCTTCCAGCGCCTGGTGCGCGAGATCGCGCAGGACTTCAAGACCGACCTGCGCTTCCAGAGCTCGGCCGTCATGGCGCTGCAGGAGGCGTGCGAGGCCTACCTGGTGGGGCTCTTCGAGGACACCAACCTGTGCGCCATCCACGCCAAGCGCGTCACCATCATGCCCAAGGACATCCAGCTCGCGCGCCGCATCCGCGGGGAGAGGGCGTAAACTCCCAAGGGGCGGAAACCTTGAACCCAAAGGCTCTTTTCAGAGCCACTTTCATACTCTTGACAGTGGCTGTTCCACTACTAGATTTGGTGTTAAAAAAAGGTTTAAAACAATGGGAACAGGGACGGCGTTCCGGGGTTACCGCAAAAACTGGTTACCTTAATTCCCTCAAGCAAAACAGGTGTAAATGTTGGTTAGCCCTCTCGTAGTATTTACTTTAAGGGTATTTAAATAACGAACCCTAAAGATATTAGTAAGGGGAGATGAATGAAAAAAGTCACCTTCTGTCAGGTATTGTGTGATATATTTCAGATGTGAAAACCAGCTCTCCAAGGCAACATAAAGACCGTTGGTGGTCATATGTACCAAAGTGCAGAAATATGTTAGGGTTTTAGGTCAAACAAGGAGCGAGTGTCAGGCGTGAAACGTTTTGTAAGTTGGAGACTTGGGTCTTGAGAGTTTGAGGAGAAAGTATGGGGTATCTCTGGAAATTGTTTTTAGGCCAGGAGCAGACAAGAACATGGCACAGGGAAGATGAGTTGAGAAAGAGGCCAGAGAGGGGAGTGAATTCTGCATCTCCACGTTTCTTTAATTGACATTCACAGCACATGGAGGCACTAGGAGCTTAAAGGAAGTTCAAGGACGACGGCAGAGATGGTGTGTTGTAAGGCGGGAGCAAGAAGGGATGCTCCATCCTTCCTTGCCTCCTGGTTAAGGTTCCCAACTGGATACTGTGGAGCGGCAGGGGGCATCTGAGGGATAAGCTCAGAGAGTGGAAAGTACTGCAAAGAGCTGTCTGTGTGCTTATGTGTGAGTGTGTATGTGTTTGGGGACAGAAGAAATGAGAGTTAGAAGAGGTATTAATGACTAGTAAGTAAAATAATTTTGAGCGAAGGACAAGAGGAAAGTAAAAAGAGGCACACAACACAACCTACCAGCCAATTCCAAAGCCGTAACCCAAACAAACAAAATCAGGTGTCAAGGAAATAAATAAGTGGCATAACAAATTGAAAACATACCTATTGAAAAGGACTGACTCCAACACTTGTAACAAAGAACATTAAGAAATGGTCAGCTGGACAAGTGTGGATCAGTAAGCAACACTCAGAACATTGCGAAGGACAGTATAGCTCATTTATTCATCTGATTAAAAGGAAGGGGATTCTATGGAATTTAAAACACTGCAAATTTCTCTTGGAAAGAATATGTCTCTTCTTGTGAGAGAAAAAAAACCCTATCCCAGTTATTCAACAAGAATTTATTGGGCAATTCATGCCAATCAGCTTTATTATTTGCTGAGAAAGGCAAAAAGGAAGCATCTTAATAGTACTTAATTTAAATAAAACGAGATTCTCAAACTTTTTTTAAGCTAAGAAATCTGCAGAGCCAGTCTATTTGTCTCCTCCATGAAGGGGGGAGAAGAGAATGAACAAAGTCTAATTTAACAGGGAGAGTGACACCTTTGAGAAACGTAGATGTGAACGTTAAAATCATTTCCAGAGCAAAGCAGTTACTGCAATCAAATTACAGGTCTTTCAGAGTATGTTATCTTCACCAGATAAGGGAGCACTGGTAAGTTTTCTCAGTGTTTCCAGAAAGAACAAACAGCCCCCCCTTATCCTCAGGGAGTATGTTTCCAGACCACCCGGTGGATGCCTGCTCAGCAATTCTCCAAGAAAATGGTGCATAAAAGCTGACTTTCCTTAAACAACTTTAGAAAAGTAAAGTGTTTCAAACCGAGATGAAAAAACAAAACAAAAGTCATCCCCTGCCCCTCCCCATGACAGCAAGGACAGAATGGGTAGGAGGTGAGGAAAGGGGTAGAGAAGCGAAGCTGAAACATGAGGAATTCCACCTTGAAGTTCTCCATGATCAGGGCCATTAACTGTAGTCAGCCACTTTCTCAGGCTGAATCTGTTAAGATTATACAGAAAGCGCTTTGGATACAAGGCTTCATTCATAACCCAGATGACTGCAATCACTGCTCTTGAGACGGGCCACTGGAATCCAGCGATCCCTGTCACTAGTGTGGTGGATACTATGTGGTGACAGGAAAAAAAGAGACAGCAAATCCTGACCCAAAGGAATGGTCTTCCAGCAGTGGGCAAGCAGAAGACACTGTAGAAGGAGCAGTTGGACTGAGGAACTTTTAAATTAGGCTTTAAACATTTTATTTTTCAATTACAGTTGACAAACAATATTATATTAGTTTCAGGTGTACAACATAGTGGTTAGACATTTATATACCTTAGTAAGTGATGGCTCTGATAAGTCAAGTACCCATCTGACACCATACACAGTTATTAGAATGTCTCTAACGTGTACTTTACACCCAGTGGCACTGGCAATTTGTACTTCTCAATCTCTTTACCTTTATCTCCAGTTCCCCAAAACCTGTCCCCTCTGGCGACTATCAATTTTTCTGTGTATCTAGGAGTTTGTTTCTGTTTTGTTTGTTCATTTATTTTTTTTGAAATTACACATATAAATGAAATCATATGGTATTTGTCTTTCTCTATTTGACTTATTTCACTTAGCATCATACCCACTAGGTCCATCCATGTTTTCGCAAATGGCAAGCTTGCACTTTTCTTTATGGTTGAGTAATAGTCCTTTATACATATATAAAATCTCACATCTTTATCCACTCATCCATTGATGGACACGTATGTTGGTTCATCAATATCTTGGCTATTGTAAATAATGATGCAGTGAACATGAAGGATGCATATGTTTTTTTGAATTATTGTGTTGGATTTCTTTGTATAAATACTCACAAGTGGGGTTGCTGGGTCATATAATATTTCTATTTTAAATTTTTTGAGGAACCTTTATACCTTTTTTCTATAGTGGCTGCACCAATTTACAATCCCAACAGTGCACAAGGGTTCCCTTTTCTCCACATGTGCTGTTTGGTGACTTAGTGACGATCGCCATTCTAGCAGGTGCGAGGTGACATCTCATTGCAGTTTAACTTTCTGATGGTGTTATTGGTCAATACAAATGCAACAGATTTCTGAATGCTAATTTTGCATTCTGCTACTTTGCTGAATTCATTTCTTAGTTCTAACAGTTTTTTTGTGGAATCATTAGAGGTCTCTATAGTATGTCATCTGCGAGTGAGATTTACTTCTATCCAATTTGGGTGTCTTTTCTTTCTTTTTCTTGTCTGATGCTGTCGGTAGAACGACCTACACTATGTTTAATAAAAATGGTGAGAATGGCATCCTTGTCCAGTTCCTGGTCTTAACGAAAAAGCTTTCAGCTTTTCACCCTTGAACACGACTTGAACGGTGGGTTTTTCTAAACCAAGGGGTTTAATGAAGCACCGCCTGGTTCTTTTTCCGGAAAAAAGCGCGGGGCGGTGGAAGGGGCGGGGGAAGCTGGCCTGACCGGTTCCCAAACAGGTCCGCAAAAGGCGTATATAAAACACTGCGAGGGTTGGTTGTGTTTGTTCCGACTGCAGACATGTCTGGTCGCGGCAAAGGCGGGAAGGGCCTCGGGAAGGGCGGCGCCAAGCGCCACCGCAAGGTGCTGCGCGACAACATCCAGGGCATCACCAAGCCCGCCATCCGGCGCCTGGCGCGGCGCGGCGGCGTCAAGCGCATCTCCGGGCTCATCTACGAGGAGACCCGCGGGGTGCTCAAGGTGTTCCTGGAGAACGTGATCCGCGACGCCGTCACCTACACGGAGCACGCCAAGCGCAAGACGGTCACGGCCATGGACGTGGTCTACGCGCTCAAGCGCCAGGGCCGCACCCTCTACGGCTTCGGCGGCTGAGCCCCCGCGTCCACCAGCCTCATCTATTCCCCCCCAAAGGCCCTTTTCAGGGCCGCCCACTCCCTCGGGAAGAGCTGTGCGCTGCCTTCGTCGTTTTTTTGGGTCACTGAAGCTGAATTAAGACTAATTCCAGCCGTCCGGGGAAGGGGCGGTAGTTAGTGGTTCCAGTAAACAGCACAAGTGTGCCTCCCACACTGCTCCCTCCGCTCGCAACGTCACAAAATACGGGCACTCTGTTCCACCCCCCC